ATTTCTCTGCACCAGGCGAGCCCCCAGTCTACACTGCACGCACCTACGCACCTGTCCTTCTTCTTCCCCCAGTCTACACTGCACTGCACCCCTCTCCGCCTCCCGGGCACACACACACACACACACACACGCATGCATAGGCCCTCCTGTGAGAGATAGCCCTAAAGAGGAACCGTCCCTAGAGCCGGTCCCCAGCCGCTCGGCACTTCCCGCCCACGCGCCCGGTCCCACCGTGCAGCGGACCCTCACTAACCCCGCGGATGTCCCAGTACCCCAGTGTCATGGACATGATGCTGGTTGGTGTGGATTCTGCAGACAGGACTCAGCTGGGCTGAACTGCGACTTCCTCTGGGGTTCCTGGCGTGCAGGGGCGGGACCTAGTGCCAGACCCGCCCCCTCGGCCCCGCTGCGCCCGCCGATCTTCAAGGTCTTCACTTCCAACCGGCCGATCTTCAAGGTTGTCACTTCCAACCAACAGGCGCAGGGGGAGGCACGGAGAAGATTGCCGGATCCTCACTGGCTGGAAGGAGTAAGATCCACCGCCACCTCCGAGTGTTCAGGGAGCAAGGCCAGGAGGCCCTAGGCGGGGCTGGACCTCGCCAGCTTCCGTAGCCCCGCCCTGGGGCGTTCCACCCTGCCGCGCCCCGCCCCACCCCACCGCGCCCCGCGGCGCTTCAGAACTCTGCTACGTCCCCAGGTACTTGGCTGTGCCCGTGAGAGTCAAGCCAGATCCTAAGAGAAAAGTTATTTCCCAGGTTCCTTCTTCTCCGGACGTGGCCCAGCCTTCCGCCTCTCGGCTGCCGAGTTTCCACAGGCTCTGGGAAACTGAGGCTGCCAGAGTCAGACCAAAGAGAGGTCTCAGAGAGTTTAATTCAACACTTCTTGGCAACTAAGTCTTAGAAGTCTGATGGTGTGCTCTCTCTGCTGAGTTGGGGAGCGTGGATGGAGGCCATGTCACTGAAGCTGGTAGAGCGCAGTCTCTGTCCCAGATGCTCCCGACCCTTTTGCGCTGGGCCAGTTCCCCAGCTCTGAGACGGTCCAGGCTCAGGAAGTGGCCTGTGTGTCAAGGTGGATTCCCATGTAGGTTTGCCTACAGCAAGGCGATAGCACCATGCACACAGAAGTGCTTGGACTTCTGAATAGTTATACTTCTCATTATACATTAAGATATTAAGAATTTATCATTCTGCGTCTTTTTTTTTTGAAACGGAGACTCACCCTGTTGCCCAGTCTGGAGTGCAGTAGTGCAATCTCGGCTCATTGCAACCTCCGCCTCCCGGGCTCAAGTGATTCTCCTGCGTCAGCCTCCCGAGCCTCCCCGGCACACACACACACACACACACACACACACACACACAGAGCTCCCGAGCCGCCGGGATTACAGGTGAGCGCCACGACGCCCTGCTAACTTCTTTGTATTTTCTGTAGAGATGGGGTTTCACCCTGTTGACCAGACAGGTCTTGAACTCCTGGTCTCAAGTGATCCACCGGCCTCCGCATCCCGAAGTGCTGGGATTACAGGCATGAGCCACGGTGCCTGGCCTGTCATTCTGCGTTTATCCGTCTTGAGCTGGGAAAGATAAAATGTCTAGGTCCAATTGTGAAAATGATTTCTTAAGAAAGCTAACACTCATTAGAATAATAATTATGAAAGAAACCAGAACTGATATTGTTACATTAGTATTCACCCATTTGGTAATTCCTTTATTGAAACAACAGTTGTTGAGATCCTACCATATTCCAGGCACTGGAAAACAATCCTTCAAAGACATTGTACTTTGGCCACCTACGACTAGAAGTCAGGTGGGAACTACAGGGGAGATATTTTGAAAATACGGGACACTTCTTAGTGTTTTTGCACACTGAGAGGCAGTGGAGTGGGAGAGGGGTTGAGTGCAGGAGAGAGAAGCAGTGCCTGCTGTTGCAAGGACTCTGAGGAGCCAGGAAGATGGGCCCCAGGTGGCTTCTTCAGAAGGAGGAGTACAGCTCTGCGGAAGGCGGGAAGGACTGGAACAGCAGGATCTCCAAAGTAAGGGCCACAGTGGCCACGAGGATCACACCAGCGCGGGAAGTGGGTCTGTGGACAGGGATCAGGAGCAGCGGGGATGGAGGAGGCAGAAGTAGTGCCCTGGGGAAGAATGTGCACGCAGCTGTCAGTTCATTTTCTGCATGTCTGTGAGATCTAACTGGTTCATTGTGTGTTCACATTCTGCATTTCCTTACTTACGTTCTGTCTCAGCCTTTCCATAATTGAAAGAGGGGTTTTAAAGCCTCCCATTGTTAATGTAGAACTGTCTATTTCTCCCTTCAGTTCTGTCAAATTTTGCTGCATATATCTTGTTTTATTCCTACTATGGGAATTGCATCCTGTATGAGAGAAATCAGTTATCCTTCCTGGATGGTCTACCAGATGACCTGTGCTTTCCTCATTTTAGAAGCTCTTGGTATTTTTTTTTTTTTTTTTTTTTTGATGGGAGTTTCGCTCTTGTTGCCCAGGCTGGAGTGCAATGGCATGATCTCAGCTCACCACAACCTCCACCTCCCAGGTTCAAGCCGTTCTCCTGCCTCAGCCTCCCGAGTAGCTGAGATTACAGGCATGCGCTACCATGCCCAGCTAAGTTTGTATTTTTAGTAGAGACAAGGTTTCTCCATGTTGGTCAGGCTGGTCTCGAACTCCGACCTCAGGTGATCTGCCCCCCTCAGCCTCCCAAAGTGCTGGGATTACAGGTGTGAGCCACCGTGCCTGGGCACTTCTGGATATATTTTTTAAGAAAACATGATTTCCTGGTGGGATGGTAGTTTTAAATATCTTGCAATCTGTAACAATTCATTGGAATCACAGGGTAAGTTACTGGGCAGTGGACAGAATGAGCCTGATGTCATGTAAGAAATAGGATTTTAGTGGAGCACTGATTACACTGGTATTAAGTATCATTTATTACAATAGGAATGAGTCACTTTTGTGTTCCTCAAGATGAACAGATTCCTTGAGTAGAATTAAATAGTTTCTGCAAAGCATGCTCAGATGTCTCTGAAGAAAGCAAACAACCATGGTAGCCAGAATAAACCCAATATTAGTCCTGATTGATTGGCCTTGTAACGGCCTCAGCAGAAGCAATTTGTTGGCATGAAGTCCAAGCGCAATTGTTGCAAGACTGAAGGTTGGGATTAACGATGTGAGTGAAACATAATTACCATAAGGAGCCAGTTAAAGGGAGGTTGCCTTGTGAAGTTTTTAAAAGGACAGCTATGAAATTTTTGTCAGCAGGGTTGTTAGATTCAGAGTGGCAGCAATGGTCTGGAAAAAAAAAAAAAAGTATAAGAAAATTTTGTTTTCTATTAAGTGGTAGATCGAGAACATAAGAGGTCAGAAGTAATAGGATGAGGGCCAGGTACAGTGACTTGTGCCCATCATACCAGGTACTTGGGAAACTGAGGTGGGAGGATCACTAGAGCCCAGGAGTCTGAGGTTGCAGTGAGCTATGATTGTTCCACTGCACTCCAGCCTGAGCAACAGAGTGAGACCCTGGCTCTAAAAAAAAAAAAGAAAAGAAGTAATAGGATAAAAATAAGGAAGCTAACATTAATATTTTAGGTGGCTTCAAAGTAGAATAATAGCCAGGAAAGGGTGTTGGGTCAGAATGTTAATCCTTATCCAGAGTGCTGGGCAGAAGCTATCCACTTCTGAAGTCAACATCTTCTGCAGCATACCTAAGAATCTCAGTTGAAGATTTCCAGTGGAGGCCGGGCACGGTGGCTCACGCCTGTAATCCCAGCACTTTCGGAGGCCGAGGCGGGCGGATCACAAGGTCAGGAGATCAAGACCATCCTGGCTAACATGGTGAAACCCCGTCTATACTAAAAAATACAAAAAATTAGCCAGGCATGGTGGCAGGTGCCTGTAGTCCCAGCTACTCAGGAGGCTGAGGCAGGAGAATGGCGTGAACCCAGGAGGCAGAGCTTGCAGTGAGCCAAGATCGAGCCACTGTACTCCAGCCTGGGCAACAGAGCGAGACTCTACCTCAAAAAAAAAAAAAAAAAAAAAAAAAAAAGATTTCCAGTGGAATGGGTGTCCCAGAGTCAGGAGGAAATTTATGTCTTTTGAGCTAGGAAATAGTTAACCTAAGGATCCATACTTTGGAGTATTACTGCTGCGTCAGTTGTTAACAGTATCTGATAAGGTCCATTTCCTCGAGGATCAAACGTAGTTTATCTCAGGTCTTTCCCAGAACACTAAATCTCTTGTTGTGGATCATAGGTGAGTGCTTTGGAAATGCAGATCATATCTGTTGATGATAAAGTGGAAGGTACTTTATGACGCCCTTGCAATTCTTAATCATATTTCATCATCATTGTAATAGAACCAAATCAAAGATTGGTAGTGAAATTTTCAAATACATGGACAGGCCATTTTTCTTTTTCTTTTTTTTTTTAGAGACAGGGTGTTGCTATGTTGCCCAGGCCGGAGTGCAGTAGCTATTCACAGGTGCAATCATAGTGCAGTACAGCCTCAAACTCTTGGCATCAAGCAGTCTCCCACCTCAGCCTCCCGAGCAGCTAAGACTACAGACACGAACCACCACACCCAGCTTGGCCTTGTATTAATTCAGAGGTATCAATGGTGTGAGCCCAAAGGTCCAAAAGGTGTTGCAGCTTCTTCGCCTTCATCAGATCTTCAATGGAACCTTTGTGAAGCTTAACAAGGCTTCAGTTAACATGCTGAGGATTGTAGAGCCACACATTGCATGGGGGTACCCAAAATCTGAAGTCAGTAAATGAACTAATCTACAAGCGTGGTTATGGCAAAATCAATAAGAAGTGAATTGCTTTGACAGACAATGCTTTGATTGCTCGATCTCTTGGTAAATATCGAAGGTATATTTAATATATAATAAATATCAGAGGTATATCGGAGGTAAATAAGGAGGTAACCTGTTGGTCCCAGAAGGGGTTGATCTTATACACACTGAAGCTAAAAGTAAGATTTTATTTTATTTTTATTTTTCAATTTGAGAGCAGGTACTGTTTATTAACTGACCAGCTTAGAAAAATAATCATGGAAGACACCTTAGTTCATTCTTCTAATAAGCCTGTTGATCTGGTCCTCCCTGTTGCCAGCATCTCCACCCTCTACAAAATGGGTGGTCTTTTTCTTCATTCCACCTCATGGAGAAGATAATTTGAAGGGCCACAGGAAGTTATTTGTTTCTTTGCAGAGTTTTCCAACAGTATAGATCCCATGAATCAGATCCTTCATGCAGATGATGCCATATTTACCAAGAGATCGAGCAATCAAAGCATTGTCTGTCAAAGCAATTCACTTCTTATTGATTTGCCATAACCATGCTTGTAGATTAGTTCATTTACTGACTTCAGATTTGGGTACCCCCATGCAATGTATGGCTCTACAATCCTCAGCATGTTAACTGAAGCCTTGTTGAGCTTCACAAAGGTTCCATTGAAGATTTGACGAAAGCGAAGAAGCTGCAACACCTTTCGGACCTTTGGGCTCGCACTATTGATACCTCTGATCCTGATGACAAACACCAATGTGGGTTCTGCAGGCACATAGAAGTTGCCAGCTTTTCTTGCCCCCCTCGCTAGTAGAATTTCAGTTCTATACATCTGCCTATTCGCTTTTTCACAGATACGCTTCCGCCTTGTCTTTTGAAGCATCTTTTGGGCAAACTTACTTCTCAGGCGCTTGATCTTCAGTTCTGTGAAATTCCTTTTCTTTTTCTGAAGGTTTTCTGGCACAGCAGGAACCTTCTTCTTCTTCTCTTTGACACCCTCCATGGTTCCAGCCAGAAAAGAGAAGATTTTAGACCACTGGAGTTTAAGGGAGGTTTGTTCATCTTAGCTGCCAAATTTCATTAGTTCTCTCTGTTTTTCCTGAGGACCATGGATCATAAGGACGGTAAAATTCTGGGGTAAAAGGCAAACTTTACAGAGTTCCTTAATAACAATACCAGTCAAATGAGGGTTGTTGTCATTATTAGAGAAATAAGTGGAAATTTCCAGGTTGGAAAACTAAATCAAGCAGAAATTTTTGCCACAGTTAAAACAGCTGTAACTCTCCGGCAAGGAAAAGCTTTAATCATCCATCTTGAAAGAGAAAATAATAATAATAATAATAATAATAATCAGAACATATTTATAGTGCATTGCAGGAGGCATTCATATAAAGTGATTGGAGGTCTGAAGGGCCCTCGAGATCTTAGTTCTTATTCATATCCCACCTTTGCATTTACTAGGATCGCATTGCTGGCAGTAGGACAAGTTTTTAAAATATCCTTAGGAATACCTCTAAAATTACCCCCACCAATGTTGGTTTAGTATTGTTGCCAGTTTATCCCTGCTATTATGAGTAATGTCACAAAGCATTTTTCTGAAATTCCACTTTAAATTATTTGGCATTATGTGTCAGCTATCCTGAGAGCATTAAATAATCTCTTTTGCCACGAACACCCAAAATTTTCCCACTTCCAGATTTGTTCACTTTTCTACTTTTTGGAATCAGAGGTTTGTCTCTGACAGTTAAAAATGGCCTCTTTGAATCCTCTAAGACCCCTCTTTTCTGTGTGATTTTCAGGAGCATTGATCTTGGTGATGCTACTTGGGTTAGCTTGGTGGTCCGCTAAAGTATTACTGGAAATTCTGGGTCTTTGTGCATTGAATGGTCATCTACTTTTATTACAGCTATTTCCTCAGGTAACAGCAAAGCAGCTGAAAGTTTTACTTTTCATCCATCATCCAATTTTTGCAGGTTTTTGTGGAGGTTAGAAAACTCTTCATTTCCAAAGCATTCCCAATTCACAGACTCCCCAAAAGTGCATCTGCCATTAGTGTATATGCTTACTCTTTTACACTTTACCAGCCAGCAGACCCAGATGAGGGCAATTATTTCAGTCATTGCAGCTGATTTACTTTCTGGAGTGGTCTCTACTTTAAGGGTGAATTTAGGTCTGTGATAGCATTTTAAAATATGAACAAATAAAATCAGATCAGGGCTATCCAAGGGAATTTCCAACAAGATATTTTAAGAGCATGTGAAAAACACTGAGAGTTAACAGAATAATTTGGTGAAAAAAAGAACTTTTAGTAATCTGAGTGTAACACAACTGAGTCATTTCACATGACAGAGCCAAATCCTAATTTTACTCCTTTAGTACATAATTTTCTAATAGATTATAATAAAGGCTCTATTAATATTCCTTTATTTGTATGCATTTAGGCATACACAGATATATAAATATACAAATAGGTAACAAATTAAAACTTTTTTTAAGTTGTAATAAAAACACTTAAAATGAGATCTGCTTGTTAGTGGTGGAGGGCATTCAGGTTCTTGGCATTTTGTTTTTTTGTTGTTGTTGTTATACTTTAAGTTCTAGGGTACATGTGTACAACATGCAGGTTTGTTACATATGTGTACATGTGACATGTTGGTGTGCTGCGCCCATTAACTCGTCATTTACATTAGGTATATCTCCTAATGCTATCCCTCCCCCCACCCCCTACTCCATGACAGGCCCTGGTGTATGATGTACCCCACCCTGTGACCAAGTGTTCTCACTGTTCAATTCCCACCTATGAGTGAAAACATGTGGTGTTTGGTTTTCTGTCCTTGCAATAGTTTGCTCAGAATGATGGCTTCCAGCTTCATCCATGTCCCTGCAAAGGACATAAACTCATCCTTTTTTATGGCTGCATAGTATTCCATGGTATATATGTGCCACATTGTCTTGATCCAGTCTATCGTTGATGGACATTTGAGATGGTTCCAAGTCTTTGCTATTGTGAATAGTGGGTTCTTGGCATTTTGAATAAAGCAAGGAGAGAATGAAGCAACAAAAGCAGAGATTTATTGAAAATGAAAGTACACTCCACAGGGTGGGAGCAGGCCAAGCATAGGGTCTCAAGAGCTTGCATTCAGAATCTTCTGGGGTCCAAATACCTTCTAGAAGTTTCCCATTGGCCACTTGGTGTTCACCCCATGCAAATGAATACTGGTCCACAATCAGAGGCTGAAGTGAAGTTACAAAGTTACACTACTATGCAACTGTCCATTTTCCACCTGCAGAGCCCAATAGCAGGGGGTTTGCAAAGGGAGTAGCTTCTCGTCCTTTTGTTACTTCGGCATGGAAAGTTGGGATTTTCTTTTCGATTTAGTTCTAGAAAGTCAGTGTGAATCAGCCTTAGGTTCCCTGCCTCCAGACCCTATTCTCCTGCCTCATACTCTCTTAGCAAATTTTTAAGTACACAGGTACACAGTATTGTTAACTGTAAGCACAGTGTTGTACAGCAGATCTCTAGAATATGTTGTATAACTGAAACTTTATACCTCTTGAATAGCAACTCTTCATTTCGTTACCGAAACACCAGGGATTCAGTCTGAGTCCTGCTGTTTGCTGCAAAGATAGCCAACAACTGAGATGATTACTGCCAAGTAAGAAGGCTTTAATTGCTGCAGTAGAGGAGATGAGAGATCAGTCTCAAATCCATGTCCCTGACTGGCTAAAATTAGGGGTTTATATAGCAGAGAAAAAGTGTAACTATGTATGGGAAAACAGGAATTCTGGAGGGCTAAGGAAGCAATCATGACAGATGAGGGGCCTGGCATCTCATTGTCTGGATGTGATGATCTGTTGAGTTTCCGTTCTTTGATACCTTTTGAGAGGCTTGGTATTTCATTATCTGGATCTGGTGAGATTCAAGTTTTAAGTTTGTTTTAAAAAACAAAAACTGTCTATGGCCGGGCGCAGTGGCTCACGCCTGTAATCCCAGCACTTTGGGAAGCCGAGGCAAGCTGATCATGAGGTCAGGAGATTGAGACGATCCTGGCTAACATAGTGAAACCCCGTCTCTACTAAAAACATGAAAAATTAGCCAGGCATGGTGGCGGGTGCCTGTAGTCCCAGCTGCTAGGGAGGCTGGGGCAGGAGAATAGCGTGAACCCGGGAGGCAGAGCTTGCAGTGAGCCAAGATCGTGCCACTGCACTCCAGCCTGGGCAACAGAGCGAGACTCTGTCTCAAAAAAAAAAAAAATTTAAAAAAAACTGTCTATGGACAGTTGGATTGGTTTTAATTTCCTCCTCTCCCAATCCCCTGAAAACAGTCATTCTACTTTGTTTCTATGAGTTGGCCTATTTTGGATACCTCACATCAGTGGAATCATGTAGTATTTGTTCTTCTGTGATAAGCTAATTTCTCTTAGCATAATGTCATCCAGGTTCATCCATAGTGTTATATATTGCAGAATTTCCTTCTTTTTAAGACTGATTAATATTTCACTGAATGTACATACCAAATTTTCTTTATTCATTCATCTGTTGATGAATATTGAGGTCGTTTTCATGTCTTGGATATTGTGAATGGTGCTACAATGAACAAAGGACTGCTAATATCTCTTTGGGATCCTTCAATTCTTTTGGATGTATACCCAGAAGTGGGATTGCTAGATCATTTAGTAGTTCTGTTTTTAATTATTTTATGAACCTCTATACTGTTTTCCATAGTGGCTGCATGATTTTACATTCCCACCAACAGTGTACAAGAGTTCCAGTGTCTCCTCAACAGCACTTGTTACTGGTTTGGAGTTTGTCTCACTTTGTTTACCTTTTTTTTTGGACAATAGCCACTCTAACAGGTGTGAAGTGATATTTCATTGTGGTTTTGATTTGCATTTCCCTCATGATTAGTGATGTTGAGCATCTTTTCATGTACCTGTTGGCCATTTGTATGCTTTCTTTCGAGAAATGTCTATTCAAATCCTTTGCAAGGATGGCTCATCATATGTAAAACAATCAATGTAACACACCACGTTAACAAAATGAAGGATAAACATCAAATGATCATCTCAATAGATGCAGAAAAAGCATTTGACAAAATTCAACATCTTTTCTTAGTAAAAACTCTCAACAAACTAGGTATAAAAAGACAAAATAAAGACCATATATGACAAGCTTATAGCTAACATTATACTCAACAATGAAAAACTGAAAGCTTTGTCTGTAAGATCAGGAACAAGGTAAAGGATACCTGCTCTTGCCACTTCTAGTCAACATAGTACTGGGAGTCCTAACAGAGCAATTAGGCAAGGAAAAGAAATTGAAAAGTCATACAAATTGGAAACGATTAAGTAACACTTTCTCTGTTTGCAGATGACATAATCTTATATGTAGAAAACCCTAAAGACTCCATACAAAAAAACTATTACAATGAATACACAAATTCCATAAAGTTGTAGGATACAAGATCAACATACAAAAGTTAGTTATGTTTTGGTACACTAACAACAAAGTATCCAAAAGAAAATTACAAAAAACAGCGGCCGGGCGCGGTGGCTCAAGCCTGTAATCCCAGCACTTTGGGAGGCCGAGACGGGCGGATCACGAGGTCAGGAGATCGAGACCATCCTGGCTAACCCCGTGAAACCCCGTCTCTACTAAAAAAATACAAAAAAACTAGCCGGGCAAGGTGGCGGGCGCCTGCAGTCCCAGCTACTCGGGAGGCTGAGGCAGGAGAATGGCGTAAACCTGGGAGGGGAGCTTGCAGTGAGCTGAGATCCGGCCACTGCACTCCAGCCTGGGCGACAGAGCGAGACTCTGTCTCAAAAAAAAAAAAAAAAAAGAAAAAAAAAGAAAATTACAAAAAACAATCCCATTTGCAGTAGCACCAAGAAGGATAAAATAGTTAGGAATAAACTCAACCAAGGAGATGAAAGACTTGTACATAACACTGATGAAAGAAATCAAAGAAAACTACATAATATTGATGAAGGAAATCAAAGAGGA